ATTAAAGCTAATAAGACAAGATGATTAATTAAAAGTGTGCTAGAATAAAACTAAAGAGAATATAAATTTTGTTGCTAATCATTGATAAACTTTAGAAAAAATCATAAAATAAAGATTAATGCTAACTCTATTACACTTTTATATGATGAAAGCATCCACATAACCAAATAAAAAAATTAAAAGAGTTCATGAAAATCACTTCTAAAGATTCATGATTTTACTCAAAAAATTAAGCTATTTTTAAAAATATTAAATGATTTAAATTTGTGTTGTATTTATAAAGAGCCTTGATGGAGATGCTTTTGTTTTAGCAGTTTGTTCTGAATGAGCCATGCATATTAGCTTTAAAGTGTAATATTTTTTCTTTATCGTGTTATATGGATGTTTGCTTGGTTTGCTTATCTATCTCTTATTTCTTCAATAAGTTGATATATTATTAATACAATTTACGATGACATGTATATCTTTCATACAAATTTGAGATATGTATAAGATGAATTTTATATTTAGTGGCATTTAATAAGAATTTTAGTTGTAAAATATGTTACCTTCATATTTAAAGATCTTGAACTCTGACGGTACTATTACATGCTTATCTTTGATCGTGTTCTTAAAATTTGATCTTTCGTTGGTATTCATATCCCCAAATAAGGATACTTGCAGAGTTGTGCCACTATAGAGAAAAAAAAATATCAATTTTAATTTTTTCACTTACACTATGGTAACTAAGTATCATGTGTATTTTTGTCCACTATAGTGATTTTTCTCATCTTATCTAGTTTATTATATTTAGCAATGTAGTTGATTGTAGGCAATAAAAATTGCCTTTAAATCCTTATCAGAGAAGTTCAGAACAAAACTGCTAAAACCTCGCCCGAAATATCAAAAAGGGGAAAAACACTGATAAAAAGGGGAAAACACAGATATTTCCCAAACCGTAAGGAATTTGGCGAAACGGAGGAAGCGAACGCTCCATGTCGTCGAGATAGGCGATTTTCATATATAATTCGTCCAATTCCGACTTACGGTTTGAAAGTTACGGTCTATTCTTCGATCCTGCTCAGGAGCTCGCCTGCAGCTCGAATTTCGCCTGCACACCTAAGCTCGCCTGCAGACCCAAGTCTGCCTGCGCACCTGAGCTCGCCTGCAGACCCAGTTCGCCTGCAAGCTCGCCTGCAGTCCCAAATCCGCCTGCAGACCCAAGTCTACCTGCTCGCCTGCAGCTCGAAATTCGCATGCAGTCTCAAATCCGCCTGCGGACCCCAAGTTTGCCTGCTCGCCTGCAGCTCGAAATTCGCCTGCACTATCAAGCTCGCCTGCAGACCCAAGTCTGCCTGCAGTCCTAAGCTCGCCTGCAGACCCAAGCTGCAGACTCGCCAGCTCACTGTCAACTGCCCACTTGGAGTATGGGAACAGTTACATCAGTGGTCAAATCCCACAAATCAAGGGAGAGGGCACAATACTCCAGGCCCGTCAGATGGCCGTCCACAGTACGAATGAGCGGACAGGCGCCGAAACAGCCTGCACTCTCATAAATGCAGCTTACCTCACTTGTCCAAGCAGAAGGGAGGGCCGCCGGCACTCAGTGAGTTGGCCATATCCACTCGAGTACCTGATAGCCGCTGTCACGCATACGAGGAGGGGCTTTCCCATTCCTAAGTGACGTGATGTAAAACATGGCTCCTCGAATGACCGCTCCTGTTGCAGGTGAACAGCAGGATATCTCTGAACGACGTGTGGTCACATCCCATAATTCAAGGAGCAGTCAAGCTGTCTCCCTCACGTGGTCAAATCCCATGAATCAAGGGATGGCCCATGCCATCCCTTGCCTATTAAAACCCATCTTCAGCCAGCATGAAAGGGGGATTGGCTGTTACATATTCTGCTGGCTAATCTCCCAAAGGTTGAACCTGGACCTTTGCCAAAGGCTCCCTCGTTTGAGAACTGAGGCTCCGGCAGCAACTTCGATCGGATTGTCCAAGGGAAGCAGACTCGGCACGAGCACCGAGCGAGGCATCCTATCGCCACCGAGGAACCCACGTTAAACAAGGAGGGCATTCCCTCCGCTTCTGTTGTAAACATTTGATTATTAGTTTGTAATAAGCTGTTCTTATCAATACAAACGAAGTTTCCTGTTTTCGGGAGATCAAAATTTACACCTACATTGATCAATGGCTTCACTTTAGTTTCTATTGCAAGATTATTTATATGAAATTTTATATTGAATTTATAATTCCTTTAGTATTTTTAGAATAAAGTATGAAAATTTATAAGTACTTACTAATTTTTCTTGTACTTTTCATAAATAATGTTTTTTAATTAGGACATAATTGTTCAATATGTTCTTCAAGGAGAACTTGGTTAGTGCTTCTTTGCTCGATATGTTTTTTATCAATGTCAATTCAGGTGATTCATGAATGTTTCTGAATGTTAGTGCTTCTTTGCTCGATATGTTTTTTATCAATGTCAATTCAGGTGATTCATGAATGTTTCTGAATTTTGAGTTTATTTCCTTCACTTCTCATTCAGGTGATTCATGAATGTTTCTGAATTTTGAGTTTATTTCCTTCACTTCTCCATTTGAAATGAAAATAACTTAGTTCTTTTAAAGGATATCTCTGAACTTTCTGATAGTTTCTCCATACATAACTCCTTGTATTTCTTTCACTTTATAAATAAATATTATCAACATTAGAGATAAATATTTATACATTATAATCAATTAATGCTAACCTATTATATCTTAATGTAATAATATCAAACATTTCCTCTTTTCTTTACCAAATTTCAGCCTTTTTGTGATTTAAACTTTTGAGAGTGTGTTTTGCAATTTTTAAACTTTGATAGTATTTTATGAAAATTTTAAATTTTAAGTTGGGCGCTTATAGTTTTCATGTTTCATGTATTGGTGATAAGTTTTTAAATATTAGAATATTTCTCGTAACTCTGAAAATTTGAAGGTATTTTTATAATTACTAAAATTTTGGGTTGTTTTTTAAAAAAAATTAAACTTTTAGTAATCTGCTGATAATTTCTAAATTTGATGTGTACCAGTTATAAATTTTAAAATTTCAGAATTTTTTAATAATTTTTACTTTTGAGAGAGTTTTTGTAATTTTTGTACCTTTGAGGTTATTTTTTTTACTAATTTTAAATTTCTATGTGCCTAATGGTAATTCCTGGAATCTATCTATGTTGTTTCTAAGTTTTGAAATCTCTGAATTTTAGAATGTTTTTTTGTAATTTAAGCATGGCTAAATGGCACTTATATACTCTATTGTTTTGCTCTTGTAGTAGTTATATACCCTAAGTTACAAAACATAGCAAAAAATACCCTGAGTTGGTAATTGTTTAAATTTAACTAACGGTGTTAAAAAACACATGAAAGGACAATAATGCCCCTCCTTAAGAATTAACCCCCTCCCCCAACATAGTGAAAGCTCTTATTTTCTACTGTTACCCATATTAAAGAGGAAGAAGAAGTTAGAGGCCACGAAAAGATGATGATGATGATGAAAATAATCTAATTTGCGAGGGGGGGGGGGTAGTTAGGATAACAATGTAATATTCAAAAAACTATGGGTAATAGTGAATATTCTAGAGAATATTCTCACAGCTGGTTAACAGAAGGTACCAACTTGCAAATTTTTGCCAACTCAGGGTATTTTTTTGCTATATTTTGTAACTTAGGGTATATAACTGCTTCAAGAGCGAAACACATAGGGTATATAAATATAATTTAGCCTTTAAACTTTTGAGATTGTTTCTATAATTTTTAAAATGTTGAGGGTGTTAATTACAAGTTTTAAATTTTCACATATCATGTTTGTTTTTTAAGTTTTAAAAAGTCAAGGTGTTTTGTGTAATTTTAAACTTTGAAGGTTATTATATGTAATTTTTGAAACTTTTGGGTTTTTTTATAATGCTTCATGTATTATAATATGTTATCTATGTATAATTTCTTAATCTTATTTTTTCTATATTTTTGAGTTATAGTTATCTATGTATAATTTCTTAATCTTATTTTTTCTATATTTTTGAGTTATAGGTAGTTCATATGGAGTAAATATAGGATATAATTAGTATTTGGATAGATTAAGGTTTAAGTGAAATATTCAAAATAATTTTTTTTTTAAATTGTTGACCTATAGATAGTTCACGTGGAATTAGATAAGATATGATTAAAATTAGAATAGATTAGGATAACAATGTAATATTCAAAAAAACAAAGGGTAATATTGACCATAGAAAGATTTTTCAGAAACTCGTGCTTTTAAAAGAAGTGTGATATGATATGATATGATTTATCAATACTGTTTGTCCGATCACAAAAAGAATGAAGGTTAGCACTTACATACCCTAAGTTCATTCTTCTTCAACCTTAATACACTGGAATTCTATTTTAGCAATTTGATACCTCAAAGCTCTGACTTTGTTCCTCATTTTCCCCAAATTTAAAAAGATTAAACTTTGGTGAGAAAATTAGTTTATCATATCGGTTCACTTTTTTACTACGTCAAAATTTCTTGAACTTTGGGGTATCAGATTATCAACATCTAAAAAGGAATTGAAAATGTTGGGGCATTAGAGTGCAATAACCCAGATTTAAAAGCTCCTAGAGGGTTCTCTGATGTATAAAGTTTAGGGCAAGTTTTGAAAAACTATCAAACTCAAGGGGCCATTTGAAATTGGATTTGGATCCTCTCCACTACAAAAAAGTAGTGGAGAGATCACTGCTTTTAATCTCAATCTTTGATTATTTAGTAGACGGTTATGATACAATCTAAATCTAACACTTACCATACCCCCGTGTATTACACTCATTCCTAATTTACACTAAAAGAAAAAATCACAACCATTAATTAGATAATCAATGGCCGTGATTATGTAGTGTTCTCTCCACTGTTTTTTTTTGTAGCGGAGAGGATCCGAATCCTTTGAAATTTGTAGCGGAAAGGATCCGAATCCTTTGAAATTTGTACTATATATTCACGTCTGCGCTCGCTTCGGCCAAAAACCTCCTCGCAGTTCTCTTGGGCTTTCCCTCAAACAGCTTGCAGGTATCAAACAAAAACCCTAAACCTTCGATGAAGTTCCCAAGCGCTCGATGGGGGCGATCGATTCTCCGCCAAATTCAACGCCCTCAGCCCAGAATCTCTCCTCCCTCAACATTTCATCGTCTCTCATACTCCACAGGTACTCAAAAGCTCAAAATTCAAAAATAAATAAAAATAAAAAGAATACAAGTTTATATTTGAATTCTCACAAGTTTCAATCTTTGCAACCAGAATCCAACTCTCAGCTACCGGCAAGCTTGCTAAAGATAATGGAGCAGCGAATGATTGCGATCGAACAGAAGGGCGCGTATCTGTACAACCAAATTAACCAGGTTTGATTTGGAGAATTTTGAAGTTTTTGATTAATTTGAAAGGAAACCCATTTTTTTAGATTTGTTGTTTACTGAAGGCAGCCAGCAGCTTCGACGACCGAGTATTCGAGGGCTAATAAGGAACTTCGAAAGATCGAGAGCTTGCTTGAACTGATTGAGAAGTTGAATGATAAAAAGAAGGTATCTTTGTATTTTAAAGATAATTTTACTTTCTTAAGGATGCCTTAAGATTTACTTCGTAGTTGAAAGTTCTCTCAATTTTGTGCCTAATTACTTGTAACATCTACAGTATACATGACATTTTTGAAACTGAGCATCAACTTTTGAGTTACATTTTATCTTCAAGCATTCCTTAGAAATTTGATTTCATGTTAAACAGAAACTTAATTAGGAGTTTGTTGTTACAAGCTACAGCTAAAGCTCATTTTGAATCCAATAAAATCACATAAAATTGCAGTGATCATCTCTGCTTTGGTGTCGTCTTGACGCATCTTTCATTTTACTCCTAATGCAATTTTTAGAGCCAATGTTTATCATCTTTTCCAATGTTCGGAGAAGTTTTTGTAGGTTATTCTTGGGTTGCATGAACTTAAATTGCTGGACCATAAGGTACATACTTCATGGCCTTCTTTAGAATTTAGCCCTTCTATCCTTGTCTCAGAGTTTGGCACCTATTTTTGTTGGGCTCTAAAGCCTCTGTCTGGGGTTCGAGGAAACACAAAGTCGCCGAGAGAGAAGGTCACACAAACACAAAATTAACAGCACGAACACAAACAACGAATTTTACGTGGTTCAACAAATTACATACGTTCACGGGGCAAGAAGGGGATGAGTTTTCACTAATAGAAAAAAGAGTACAAGTAGAGATTACAAAATCACTCAAAATCTCTCAAACAAAGCTCTCAAATCTCTTACACAAATCCCAAACAAATTGCTCAGAAAACTCTCTTTTCTGTGTACCAAATAACCCCTTTTTCAACCTTGCTCAACCCTAAAAAACGTGTTTCAATATATATATCAAAACACAAACCAAATCAGAACAGGAAACAAAGCTCAGGCTCAAACCCGACAGGCGGTCGACCGCACTTGACGCCGCGGTCGACCGGACAGAACGTCCAAAACTCAGGAAATCACTTATAGGGTTTGCGGTCGACCGGACCTAGCATCGCGGTCGACCGACCAGAACTCTAGAAAACCACCATGTAGTGTGCACGTTTTCGGTCGACCGCACATGTTGTCGCGGTCGACCGGAAAACCTCCAAACTGTTTCATTCGTCAAATTTCTTGAACTTCAACCCCGTTTTCACCGTTTCTACAATTCTCCATCTCGACGAAGTTTTCCCAAAACTAAGCCGACACCAACCAAACCAAACGTCACACTTGTTGCGTCCAGTACGAAGTGGAAACAATCCACGATAACAGCTCAATCCACAACAAGTCGAGAACCCAAACGAGAATGCGAACAAACTTTAAAATGTCGGTATCAACTCATCAAACTGGCTGTATCAAAATAACTGCTTACGTATCCTTTTGCCCAAGGAATTAAGCCTCACGTAGTTCACCCAAATGGCCTCCAAAGACCCTCAATCAACTAGAAGGATTTTCAACCCTTTACCAACTTCACAATCATCACCAACAAATCTGCAGCTGATAACACTCCTAATGGCCTCAAAGTGAAAAGATAAACTCTCTTCCAAATTTGTATCTCTCCACACCAAATCTGTCTTGGAGCTTAACCCCTCAACCCTATATGTAGAAGAAACATAATTACCAAACACCTCCACCTAAGGTGAGCCAACGACCATAGCCAAATCTGAACTGTGTCCACCTGTTGTACTCGAATCCTGATCTTCAAACTCATAATCTGTATCCACACCAACATGATCCCCAATCTGTGTCACCTTAGCTGGAATCTCAAACGATATAGAATGATCTGGAGAACGTGGAGTAATCTCCATCCAACGTGAAGTAGCATCACTCTTCACATGCTGCGATACATCTCTGATCCGACCAATACTCTCCACCTACTGAGAGTCAAACGTGACATTACTGTTCAGAATAATCTTCTTGAAAACAGAGTCCCATCACATGTAGCCAAACACGCATCTGAATTCTAAATATGCACTCGGATCAGTTTTCACATCCTCGATGTGACAATATGTTGGGAACCCAAATATCCGAAGCAAACTAAAATTTGAAGCAACTCTAACTGTTTGTGGAAAATTTGTAGTAAAAAGAATGAAAGAAAAATTGATTTGTATTCTCTCAAAATCGATTACAATTTGGCACTGTTTTAAAAAACCTCCGCCTAGTCCGCTTAGACGTACGCCTAGACCTAGGCGGTACTTAGGCCGCCTAACTAGCGCCTAGGGCCTAGGCGGTATTTAGGCTGCCCACCTAGATTTTACGAGCGTTTAGGGAAACATTGTTTGCATCCTGTAGGCCTTGATTGTGATTTTATGTGTCGTAGCCTACACGTTCTCCAAACTCCATTAACCTCCAAATATGAACATCTCCACTACCTCCTCCGACCTTCAGCAAAACCACATCGACCACCACTTAAATGAAGAAAGAAAAAAATGTCCAGAAACCGCTTAGGCGTCCGCCTAGGCGACTAAGCGCTGGGCGCCAAGTCCGACGCCTAGAAGCGCCCAACGTTTAATGTAACATTGCAATTTGGATTTCCTGATTACAAAAGAGAAAAGAATGATCTGGATTCCCCCTTTGTTTAAAACTGGGTTCTTCACGGTGGCGATGGAGTGTCTCCTTCGAATGCTCGCGTCGAATTTGCTCTCCGTTGATCCGCACGTCTTGTTTCACTGGAACGTGGTCTTCTCCTCACGATTTGACGTTGTGGAGAACTTACGTGGCAAGTTTGAAAATAACTCTTAACGAGTTAATAACTCAGAGCGAGTTTTAGAAGAACTTGCAGAACAAGTTTTGAACTCTGATCAAGTTGATAACTCCGAACGAGTTTAAAACTCTATGAAAGAGTTGATTTAACCGAAATCGGTTTAAAGCCAAGGATGAAGAAGCTCCTGTTCCCGATCTCCAAAATCCCAACCGAAGGATGAAAGATCTTCTTTGCTGCCAAGCTTCAGATCCAAAAAAGTCAGCCTCCCCGATCAACCCAGTCAGCCCGAACTCCATTGAGTTTACCCCTATTTATAGGGGATTTATGGGTGTAACCATCCCCTTAAATCTCTCCTTAATGAGGGTTTAATGGGGTGTAACTGCTCCCCATAAATCTCTCCATGATAGGGTAGTGATCCCCTCAAACCGTGGGGAGAAAACGATTATGGAATCGTTCAAATCGTGCTTGAACGAGTCAAACGCTGAAAACAACGTTCTGGGCCTGAACTGTGCGTTTTTGGACCTGAAACGCAGAATTGGGCCTGTTTTAGGCTGAAAACGCACAGGTCGCGCTGCGCAGAGATGAGCTGTGCGTTTCTGGACCTGGGACACAGAGTTGGGTTCTGCATTAACTATGCGTCTCTGGACCTGGGAGGCAGAGTTGGGTTCTGCATTAACTGTGCGTCTCTAGACCTGGGACGCAGAGTTGGGTTCTGCATTAACTGTGCATCTCTGGACCCGGGACACAGAGTTGTGTTCTGCATTAACCGTGCGTCTCTGGACCTGGGACGCAGAGTTAGGCTGCGTATTAACTGTGCGTTTTTGTTGTTGGACGCAGAGTTAAACTCTGCGTTTTAAATCCACAAACTCTGCGTTTTAAGTCCACGAACTCTGCGTTTTGACTCTGTAATGCAGAAGCAAGCCTTTAGGCGGGCTTGGCGAGGTTCATGCTAAGTCCAATGTTCAGACGAAGTCCAGTCTTGCAGACGGACTTCCGAACATAACTTGCTGTGAATAATAGGTCATAACTTTCAAACCGTAAGTCGGAATTGGACGAATTATATATGAAAATCGACTATCTCGACGAGACGGAGCCGACCAAACGAACCCCATAGGGTTTGGTTTGCTCCGTCGGTTTTACCAAATTCCTTACGGTTTGAGAGATATCTGCGTTTTGATTTGAAGAGACCGTCGATTTATAGTCTCTTTTGCTAGAGCGTTGCAAAGATCGTCATCTTGTAATCTTCGTCTTGGCTCCTTGTAAATGTGAGAGTCGTCAGATTGTAACTCCCGATATTGATTGTGAAGGCTGTTGATTAGAGCTTTCATCAGTTGTTGCGAAGGTCGTCAGATTGTAACATTCATCGATCCACGTGAAAGTCTTTAAATTATAGTCTTCTGGAAGTCGTCAAATTATAACTTCCGTCATCGGTGTTTGATGGGAATCAGCTATCTGCAGTGATTTTTAGACAGCCTACACTAACAGACCCAAATACGCCAATCGCAACAGACGACAACCTATGAATAAGATGACTCGAATATGTTAAAGCCTCAGTATCAAAACTCTTCTTCAAACTACTGCTTGACACCAAATACTGATCCTTTTCCAGCAAGGAATAGCTCATCAAATTTGCCAGCTCATCTCGTTGCCCTAATGTTTTCTTTCCAATGAAGCGTCTCAAACTGCCTTGAGCTCGACACAAATACAGAAATGGATCCTTCTTGTACTTCCCACCAAAATCAAAACGGAGTACTCTGTCCTTTCTATCTATTTTGGTCTCTATACACTTCTTCCACCATTTGTTAACTACTAGGACTTCACTCAAACAGGACTTGGTTGCAATCCAAACATGCCTAGAATAGTCATCAATAAAGAAAACCAAATACCTATTACCTCCAAATGATGCTTTCTTGGAAGGCCCCCAAACGTCCAAGTGAACATCATTTAGAAGGCACTTAGCTCGATGAATAGAGATGTCAAACTTCATATCGGTCTTCTTGCTCACATCGCTATGCTCACAGGACTTCAAATTGCAGGTCAAAGTGCCTCTCACCAATCCTTACATATCTGAAACTTACAAGGAACCAACACTAGAATGTTCCAGCCTCAAATGTCACAGTCTAGTCGAATCAATAGAAGTCGCCAGCGTTCCACCTGTCGCCAGTGTTCCACAAGTTATTCTTCCTGACGTCCTTCATCACAATTAGAGAGCCTTTCACAATCTTGAGAACCATGTCCTCAATACGAATTTTCAGACCCTCTGCAACTAAAGCTCCAATTGAGATCAGATTCTTTCTCAAAGAAGGAACATATCTCACACCATGTATCTCTCTAACCATCCTATTATACATCTTGTTGCAAATTTTACCTATTCCAAGGATTTGGCATGCACGGTTATCACCTATGTGCACCACTCCACTATCCAGCTTTTCAAAACTGAAAAACCATTTCCTTTTAGGACACATATGATAGGTTGCATCACTATCCAATATCCACTCGGATACTTCCGAATAGCAACCTGTGGGATTGATAGAAAACGAAAAATCAGATGAGTTAGAACTATTACCATCCGATTTGACGATGTTTGCTTCTGGTAGTTTTTCTTTTCCCTTCTGCCTTTCCATCTATAAAGAGTAAATCTCTTATATCTTGCCTTTCCATTTGTACATATAAACTTTCATCTCATGCATTTTCTAATTCTTCTCTTTTTGACATACCATGCCTTTCTTAAGTCCTTGGTGTTTCTCATGCTGAAGTTTTCATGACAAAAGGTGGTTCTGGGACAACTTTAGTGTCGAGTAAAATTGTTCCCTATCCTTTATGCTACAGTTTTCTTTAACTTTTGCAATTATCCTCTCTTCTTTATTCTGCGTGGATGTTTTGCCCACACATTTAGCACTCCCAAAGTTTCTTCTATTTATGTTCACGATATGGGACTTTGGCTAATAACAGAATTAGAGGACGATTGCCCTGTTCTTTGATTCTTGAGCTCAAAGGCTTTACCTTTTGATTTATAGGAGGTTGATGGCCTAAAATCATTAATATCTGACTGTCCTGAAGATAAAGACATGTGCGACATGGCAGCTGAGGAATTGGCTGAAGCTGTAGAGGAGGAGAACAGGTTGCAGAATCAACTACTAAAGTCATTGCTTCCGAAGGATGATGCTGATGAGCGGGATTGCATATTGGAGGTGAGAGCAGGTAGATGACTTCCTGAGGCTGTGATCATCTTCTGAGGGCGTTACTTTTAGTTATCTGGCGACTCTTTTTTTCAAAATTTTTTTTTTTTTGATTGATGGTATTTATGACAGGAACTGGAGGTGAAGAAGCATCATTATTTGCAATGGACATATTTAAAATGTATGTTTCCCCAAGACTCCATTTGCTGTTTACGAACTCCAGTTGAGACTGATGATGGTGCTGTATTAACTGAAAGTCTGGCACAGGTATGAGAAGTACTCACAAAAGAAGGGTTGGAAGTTTGACGTCATAGATATAGCAGAATCTGATTTGAAAGGATACAAGGTACTTCCGCGTGCTTGAACTTGTAGAATGTAAAATGTTTTTCCTTGATAAAAGTCTTGTTCATTGACAACATCGTTGTTGTTATCGTCAACTTATGATATTTCTTTTAAAAACCTATTCTTAAAGGAAACTTGTCCGACTCTGTTGGTGGAGAGGCCCTTTTGGGTGTAGCATGTAGAGAAAAGACTTGTGCTTTCCTGAATTTGTATATAAGCACTGTTATGTTCTTCTATTGTTTGTGTTCAGTTTGCAATGCATTCTTTGAGTTATTTTCTGCCATGCAAAATGCCATTTCTTCATACCCCACCTATGCAAGATGCAGGGGAGAGAGAAAATTACTCAATTACTGAGAATTCATTAACCTTCCATCCATTGCAGGAAGCTAGTGGAGCAGTTTCCGGGCCTGGTGCATTTGGAAAACTCAAATTTGAGAGTGGTATTCACAGAGTGCAGGTGTGATTGAGAATGCCTTTTGTCTTTCTGGTTTCAAACTACAAACTTAGAACCTAATTTTGTTGTATTCATGAAAATATTCAATCAGCGCGTCCCAGTGACAGAGAAATCAGGACGAGTGCATACCAGTGCTGTTTCTGTTGCTATCCTTCCTCAGGCTGATGAGGTTAAGATCGCTGTGTATACACTTGCATTTTACTTACATTTTTTCTGCTTTTAGGCATGCATGTTAGTTTCTTTTTTGTGTGTGCTTGTTTATAGGCTTCTTGAATTGATAATTACTATTAGTCCATAAATGATTAATTTGTTTTGTTGGTATTTCCTTGAGCAAATTATGCATCTATTGCTTATGTACGGGTGCAGTGTAATTACCCAATATCTTTGTAGGTTTGAGCCTCTTTTTTACCTTTGCTCGGCGACTTTTCCTTTCAACCTGCAAAAGCCTCTGAAGGTGTATTATTTTGTCTACATAACTAAGGCAGAAATCCCCTCTGTAATGTTGGTTGCTCTGAATTTGGGGCCTCCTGAATCATGAACCAGCACCCTAACCAACGTGCAAGTTCTTTGGCATAGTTGTATATTTAACTCAAGATTGTCGAAGTCAAGAGCATGAGGAAAATATAATGCTACCACATTGGTTAATCTGATTGAACTTGGTTTTAACTGTCATTCGACTCATTCCACATTCTTTACCTAATAAAATCCAATTAACTGAAGAAATTAAGCGTTATTGAGAGAATGAGTTCACTACTTAATAGTTAACGTGGAGAAGGCTAACCTTTAACCCATCCTTTTGCTAGATAAAGGCAATTCATCTTATCAGGAGTCGCATAGTGATTTGCCAAACTCCTTTGCTGGTCTTTGTGGAGCATTAGCTTTCTACTGATAGTTCTTATTCAAATAGAATTTTTCTTTCTTTCAACCATTGATGATTTGGCTGTGAATGCATCCAATGTGATTTGCACCTTTATATTGCTTCTTGTCCTGGAATATCTTTGCAAATTTATGTTTGTAAACATGACATAGGGCACATTTCTAATCTACACTTCCTCTACTTGGTTTAGCTAAAACTGATTCCGTGCTTCTACTAATTTAAACGACAACATGATTTTTTAGCTATTTATTCCATGATTATATAAGAATGCTTTTTTACTTGCGGGGTCTACAGGTTGATGTCCAGTTGCGCAATGAAGACCTGAAAATAGATACATACAGAGCTGGCGGTTGTGGTGGTCAATCTGTTAACACCACTAGCAGTGCTGTGAGGATAACACATATTCCAACGGGAATTACAGTGGCTATACAGGATGAAAGATCACAGCACATGGTAAGGGAAGAAATGTCTCCTTCAACATTGAAGCCTTTCTTTCAAACCAACAAGATTTTGTTGCATATGATGGAAGTTACAGATACCCCCTTATTTTCCTATGCTTATTTTCTTCAGAACAAGGCTAAAGCTCTTAAGGTGCTAAGAGCAAGGTTGTACGAAATTGAGAGATCTAGGCTTCAAACGAGTCGATCCAAGCTTCGAATGGAGCAGGTAATAAATAGCTCTCACACGATTATTCTTTCCTATTGACTGATCGATCTGATCAATGAATGCCTAATGTGTTGGTTTCGGTTGCCACAAAGTGGTCCAATAACTTCCCATCATCAAGAGAGTTGGTTATGACTTAACCAACCACTTTGCCCACTAATTCCAACATGTTTTGATCAAGTATTTGAATTTCTATCATGTTTAGATAACTTTAGTAATTTTAATTTTATCATTTGGTATCAGAGCCAGGTTGTAGAACTTATGATTTTCCTTTTTCTTAATTAATTGCTCATCGTGAAAATCATTTGTTCTAAGATCTTGGTATAATGATAATCAAATCAATAATTAAGTTTAATTTAATTTGCTTAAGAATTAGGAGTTAACATGTTTGAAACTGTAAAATTTGGATCTGTTCATTCAATATGTATACATATTTTGATTGTATTAAATACTTTAGGGCAATAGCCTAGTGGTAAGGCTTGAGGATTTGGCCTAGAGGTTTGGTGTTCAAACCCCTAGGGCTACACCATATATTAAAGGTCTTTGATGGGCCTTGGGCCTTGGGCCTCTTGGGGTCTCTTTGAATTCTAGTAATATTTTTGTTTGCTTTCAATTTTTTTTGTTGCCTACATTACGTATTTGACAATTTCTGGTTAATGTTTATATTCATGCATGTTAGATCCATTGCGTTTATCAAGTGATGTTTCTGTGAATATAATTAAATAACTACTTAATTAACCCATATAGTTTAATTAATTTGGGAGTAGCCACAACATCCTTAATTAATTAAAACTGTATAATAAGGTTTGTTATATCACTTGTTAAGGATCTTATTTAGAAAAGCAAACATTAATTGTGATTAATCGGATGTGATATAATAAATTTTATCCCACAGGAATTTTTATTATATCTGTATGATTAATTAGGATAAAATGTCAAATTATATTTTCTAATTTACCCACAGGGATTAGGAAATGAAGCATAATTTGATAGTTTTATCATGAAGTTAAGATAAATCTAATTGAATTGGAACTTTAGCCCACAGGCAAGTTTTATGTCACTAGATTTATATATTTGCATGATTTTACATTGGTAGAACATGTCATATTTTGTTAGCTTCAAATTTAGTAACATGAGCATGATTATTTAATTTACTGCAGCAATTCCACCTGCTAATTACTCTGATATGAAATGTGATGTTCCCGAGCTCAAAGGGGACAACTACAAAGTGTGGAAGGAGAGAGTTCTCCTTCATTTGGGATGGATGGACATAGACTATGCCATAAGGAAGATTGAAAAATACCTACAGTTACTGAAATCAGCACTTCAGACGAAATTCAGCTTTATGAAAAATAGGAACGATCCAATCGTCTCTGTGTGATGTTCATAAAGACTAAAATTTCTGCTGGTCTCTGTGTGATGTTCATAAAGACTAAAATTTCTGCTGGTATAAGGGGTTCAGTCGAGCAGGTCGACAAGGTCCAAGATTTACTAAAGGCTATCGATGATTTCTGCTGGTATAAGGGGTTCAGTCGAGCAGGTCGACAAGGTCCAAGATTTACTAAAGGCTATCGATGATCAGTTCGCTATTTCAGACAAGGCAATGGTGAGCACCCTGATCATACAGTTTTCATCCTTGAGGCTCACCGGCGTAAGGGGTGTGCGTGATCATATCATGCGCATGAGGGATATTGTGGCTTAGTTGAAAGTATTGGAGGTTGAGATGTCTGAAGCCTTCCTGGTTCACTACATCCTTTGTACCTTACCTCAGCAATATGATCCATTTAAGATATCCTACAACACACATAAGGACAAATGGTCGATCAATGAATTGTTGACCATGTGTGTTCAGGAAGAGGGCAGGCTGCTTATGGAGGAAAAGGAAAAGGAAATTGTGAACTTTACTACCCCTGGGAAGTACAAGAAGAAGGATCAAGCCAAGGACAAGGGGAAAGGGAAAATCCCTCCTCAAAAGGTCATTAAGAAAGAGATTGTGTGCTTCTTTTGCAAAAAGAAGGGGCACGTTAAGAAACAATGCTCCAAGTTCATGAAGTGGCTTGATAAGAAAGGTACTCAACTTTCTTTTGTTTGTTATGAATCCAATATGTTTGATGTTAATCATAACACATGGTGGATTGATTCTGGTTCTACAATCCATGTCACCAATTCATTGTAGGATTTACGAGACCTGCGGAAGCCGATGGGAAGTGAGCACAACATCTATTTAGGAAATAAGATGCCCTCACATGTGGAGGCCATTGGCACGTGCAGATTGGTTTTAAGTAGTGGTTTTATTTTAAGTTTAGAAAAGACGTTTTATATTCCTAGTTTTTCTAGGAATTTAATTTTAGTTTCCAGACTTGTATCAGATGGTTATTCCTTTAACTTTTCAGATTTCAGATTTAAAAAGATTTCGGATTTAATTTGGTTTTTAAATCTGATGTTGTTGGATGTGGTACTTTGTCTGATGGTCTTTTAGATTTCGGATTTAATTTGGTTTTTAAATCTGATGTTGTTGGATGTGGTACTTTGTCTGATGGTCTTTTCCTCCTTAATTTGCAAAATGATGAAAACGGATGTGGTACTTTGTCTGATGGTCTTTTCCTCCTTAATTTGCAAAATGATGAAAACCATACTTCTATGTACGTTCATGAAAATGTTGGTACTAAACGATGTGTTGTGAATGAAGAGTCTTCTATATTGTGGCATTGGAGATTGAGACATATCTCCATTGATAGAATTAAAAGGTTAGTGAATGATAGGGTACTTGGTACTTTGGATTTTACTGACTTTGAGACTTGTATAAGCTGCATTAAGGGTAAGCAGACTAACAAGTCCAAGAAAGGTGCTAAAAGAAGTTCTGAATTATTGGAAATCATACACATTGACATTTGTTATCCAGACATGGATGCATACCGTGATAAGTACTTCATCTCTTTCATAGATGATTACTCGCGATACATGTATCTCTACTTGCTTAACAGTAAGAATGAAGCACTAGATGCTTTTAAGGTGTTTAAAGCAGAAGTAGAGAAACAATGTGGCAAACAAATTAAGATCGTGAGATCCGATAGAGGTGGAGAATACTATGGTAGATACACTGAGAGTGGCCATGCAAATGGTCCATTTGCAAGGTTTCTTAGTGAAAATGGGGTTGTTGCCCAATATACTTTGTCTGGCTCTCCGGACCAAAATGGAGTAGCTGAAAGAAGAAACCGAACATTATTGGACATGGTGCGTAGCATGCTTGCTAGCTCCAAACTTCCTAAATCCTAGTGGACTGAAGCTCTTAAGACGGCTGTGTACATATTAAACCGAGTTCCAACCAAGGCTGTCTCAAAGACTCCTTTTGAGTTATTCAAAGGTTGGAAACCAAGTTTACGACATGTACGCGTTTGGGGATGTCCATCCGAAGTAAGAGTCTACAATCCACAAGAAAAGAAGTTGAACCCAAGGACCATAAGTGGGTATTTCGTTGGATATGCCGAAAGGTCTAAGAGATACAGATTTTACTGTCCATCTCATAGCACTAGGTTTGTGGAATCAAGAAATGCTAAATTTTTTAAGAATGACTTGATTAGTGGGAGCGATCGATCTCAGGACGTTGGTCTTGAGAAAGATCATTTAGATGCTCAGTGTGCCACTTCAAGCAACGGACTGATCGTTATTGTTAACAACACGCATATAGTACAAACGCGTGTTGAAGAACCAGTTCACGAAATACCACAAGCTGATGATCCTGATTTAGTAGATGTTGAAGTTCAACAAATACCTGAAGCTGTTGAACAACCAGCTGAACAACATGATCCTGATCCTCAGGAAAATGTTGATGTAGCATTAAGAAGATCTACTAGAGTAAGGAAATCGGCGATTCCTAGTGACTATGTCGTGTATCTACAAGAGTCTGACTACAATGTTGGAGCCGAAAATGATCCTGCGACGTTTTCACAAGCCATGAGTTCTGAGATTTCAAACTTATGGTACAATGCCATGAAGGATGAGATGGATTCTATGGCGTCAAACCGAGTATGGGATCTCGTCAAGTTGCCTGATGGTATGAAAGCCATTGGATGTAAATGGGTTTTCAAAACAAAGAAAGACTCACAAGGCAACATTGAGAGATATAAGACCAGACTCGTTGCCAAAGGATTCACTCAAAGAGAGGGAATCGACTACACAGAGACATTTTCTCTTGTATCTAAGAAAGATTCTCTTCGAGTCGTTATGGCATTGGTTGCCCATTTTGATTTGGATTTGCATCAAATGGATGTGAAAACGGTCTTTCTTAATGGTGACCTAGAGGAAGAAGTTTATATGAAGCAACCTGAAGGATTCTCCTCTAGTAATGGTGAGCACTTAGTCTGTAAGCTTAATAAGTCCATATATGGATTAAAGCAAGCTTCTCGTCAATGGTATTTGAAATTCCATGATGTTATCACTTCATTTTGTTTTGAAGAGAACGTTATGGATCAATGTATATACCAGAAGGTCAGTGGGAGCAAGTTTTGCTTTCTTGTGCTATATGTGGATGATAATTTACTTGCGGCAAATGATAAAAGTTTGCTATATGAGGTGAAACAGTTCTTTTGAAGAACTTTGATATGAAAGATATGGGTGAGACATCTTATGTCATTGGCATTAAGATCCATAGGGAAAGGTTTCGAGGGATTTTGGGTTTGTCTCAAGAGACCTATATCAAAAAGGTTTTAGAGAGATTTCGGATGAATGATTGTTCACCAAGTGTAGTAGCACCTATTGTGAAGGGTGACAGATTCAGCCTAAATCAATGCCCTAAAAATAAGCTCGAACAGGAACAGATGAAAAACATTCCATATGCTTCAGCCGTTGGAAGCCTAATGTATGCTCAGGTCTGTACAAGACCTGATATAGCATTTGCTGTTGGAATGCTAGGAAGATATCAGAGTAACCCAGGTATTGATCACTGGAGAGCTGCAAAGAATGTGATGAGATACCTTCAAGGGACAAAGGATTACATGCTCATGTATAGACGGACCGACGATTTGGAGTTGGTTGGTTACTCTAATGCGGATTTTGCTGGCTGTGTTGATTCACGCAAATCAACATCAGCATACATTTTCATGTTTGCCGGTGGAGCCGTGTCTTGGAGGAGTGCAAAGCAGACTTTGACTGCTACTTCCACTACGGAGGCCGAATTCGTATCATGTTTTGAGGCTACGTCACATGGTGTATGGTTGAAGAGTTTCGTGTCGGGGCTTAGAATTGTGGATTCAATTTCTAGGGTAATAAGATTGTATTGTGACAACTCAGTTGATGTTTTTATGGCTAAGAATAACAAGAGTGGTAGTCGTAGTAAGCATATCGACATCAAATACTTGGCCATTAGAGAACGTGTTAAGGAAAAGAAAGTGGTCATTGAGCACCTTAGCACTGAGTTGATGATTGCTGATCCTTTGACTAAAGGCATGCCACCAAAGAATTTCAAGGATCATGTAGTAAGAATGGGACTTGGTTCCATGATGTAAATATTCATTGTACGTACATTTGATATTTTGTTGAAACTCTTATTCAGTTGATATTTCTCATTTGTTTTTGTGCACATACATATTTGTTTATTTTATTGAGAAATATCATTAAAGTTTGGACCTCGAATAAACATAGGGTTTATTCATTAAGTCATTTGGGATTGAGAGACACGATACATTGTGATACATGGAAGATACTACTCAACATTAGAGAACCTATCACCATGATTCATGTATTTTGTTTTTCATTAAGGTGGATGATGGAATGTTGGTTTCGGTTGCCACAAAGTGGTCCAATAACTTCCCATCATCAAGAGAGTTGGTTATGACTTAACCAACCACTTTGCCCACTAATTCCATTTATTGCTCTTTGATGGAGAGAGTAATCGGGTCCCTATACATGCTCTTCAATTTTTGAAAGAAAAATACACCATCGTTTAGTGAAGAGATAAGGTTTAGAAGATCTTCGAAATCAACATCCATATCCTTGAGTAAGACAACGATGGCTGGAGGTTAGTTTAATCAATTACGCTTACGTTTGATGTAGTTTATATTCTCAGTTTCCAAACATGTTTTGATCAAGTATTTGAATTTCTATCATGTTTAGATAACTTTAGTAATTTTAATTTTATCATAATGATGTTAAGTAGATTGGAAGCGGTGATAGGTCTGAGAGGATCCGGACGTACAATTTTCCACAAGGTCGGGTGACAGATCACCGTGTGGGTATAACTGATCATTCCATTGAGGATGTCTTGGAGGGAGAGAGGCTTGACGTTTTTATTGACGCTCTGCTCTTGCAAGAAGAGATGGATGCCATAGCCTCATTTAGCGCATAGCCTCATTCTTAAATTTAATCAGTTTCCATGCCTGCAGCTTGAAGCTGCAAATTTACAGGTTGTGTGATGGTTGCAAGTTAATGTATCTTTTTTTTTATGTAATTTATGTGTCAACTTACATCTCATCTAATATATTGCTGAACTCTGAAGTAACTGTATTGTTTTTCTGCGTATTATCAATAAAGAGAACGATATCACCTTTTTTCATTATGCTGTTTTGGAGCAGTATGAATCTGTTGATCGAGCGTGTGTATCTTTGGAATAGCGATTTTTGTACTGTGATCAAAGTTGCTGTTCTTTGTTGCCTAATTGAGTTTTATGATTCATTTGGCTGTCACATTAAAGTTCAGTTCTAAATATATGAAATTCGACACAAAGCATTTGTATTAAAATTGTCCAAAATCATTTAGAGAACAATGCAATCTATGTCTGCTTGAGAAATAGTGAAGATCGATCTCCTTAGCTGCAAAATTCCCTAAGCTTCATGAAAGATTAGCAGAAGCCAGATAACATTATACTACTTGAGATATAAATAAACTGAGATTACTCGTGACATTAAAGGTGACATTAAAGGTGTGTTTGACAATCACCCAAAATTTGGGCCAAGTTCAACCCTAGCCCGGTTCTACTCTAAACCAGTTTAGTTTTGATCACTCTCTAGTCCAACACTAAACTGGTTCTATGGCCTCTTATAGCCTAAACTGGCCCAATTTTTGCCGATCAAAAGCAGGGCTAGGTTCAATCCAGACCCACGTTTTGGAGTCTGCCAAACACACCCTAAGTCTAATCCACGTGTGGACTACTCCAAAAATATACCACAGTCTCCTATCTAACCTAAACCCTTCACCGAATTAGTTGCTGATCCATGCTCGCAATACTCTAAGCAACAGAGCTTCCTGACTTCACCAACTTCATGACATGCCCCCAGCGTGGCTCAATAACCAGAAGAACATGGAAGGATGCGGATGCCTACGTACTAAGCCATTGGAGCAGTCTAACAAAGATATAAACCAACCACCTGAAATAAGAAACAACGAAGAATTTTTTTTGCAATATCTTCTGCCAACCAAGGATAAATAAATGTCCAGAAAAATCCCTGTCGAAGAGAGAAACCATGTCAATCAACTCGCGTGAGCTCCGTCCCAGCGCGATTTATTCACCTGAGAGAAGTGCTAGCATCTGATAGCTTTGCCGGCATCTCATAGCTTATCGGGATCAATGAATTACAGTACAACAGAAGAACTTAAATATGCAAGAAAAACTTGGGAAGTACAAGCTTGTCGGGCATTCCAGGAATATTCAGCAGAGCAGCAGCAACACATATAAGAAACAAGCAGATCAAACTTATCCATGAAATATTAGACGAACAAAATTGAACACTTGATCAGAGAAACATCAACAACACAAGTATCACGGGGCGACAGCAGCTGCCCTCATTCTTATACTGAATCTGAGAATTGATCCCCTGTGATGGGTTCCATTAACAGCTATCAACAAAAACGGACAAAACAGAAGCATAAGGATATATGTATACCCGAAAAAAAGAAAGTAAAACTAACAAGCAACAGATCTACTGAGTTTTACAATGCTATGAATAGGACATTGTCTTTATAACTCTAAAACACGAATCCTATAACCTGCACTTTTCAAACACATACAGTAGTTGTACACCATAAATCATTGTGGATTAAATAAACTATGGTAATCAAGATGGTAGCTAAATAAAGGAACATGATGAATTGGTAACAGAACGTCATGAAATAATATAATGCGGTCAGCTGGCTTCATGATTATGTATAGCATAACCAAGTAATGAGATGAGAGGATTTCTTTTGAGGGCAGCACGTATAATCAATGTGGAAGATATTGAAAGAAGATTTTAACAAAAGAAGTAAGAAGCTTTACTTCGCTTACAGCTACAGGCAAAGATATTTTATCTCCGCTATAGATATTGCAACAAAAGAAAACAGGGTAACAGTTAATAAACCAGGAAACCAGCTGAAAGTGTGATGCTTTTACTATGGAAGGCAGAAACTCAGAAGGCAATTTAGAGGGTTGAACATACTTTATCCAAGATGGCAATAAAAACTTCGGGAAAAAAAGACGGGGGGTGGGGGGGATTCAAGCATTAACTTGTTCAGCTTATTGTTGTCTTTCTCTACTGAGGAAAGAACAAGAGAGCCTAAGCCATTTGTTACAAAAGACAACAAACCCAAGATATTATTTCAGAAAATTTAGCGGATCAAAGGTTATGATTATGAAACAGCGAGCACCAAAATCCTTTGTCAACTAAATGATACATTAAGATATTTAACCTGCAAGGTTTGGCGGAAAAATAAATCAAAACGCATACATGATGCAGTCAGTAATATTTATAGCACAATGCGAATTTAGCTTTATAATTTTAGTGGAAATGATATGGTCTGATACATTAGTCCTTCAAACCCTGAATCAACGAGTCAGAACTCAATCTCAAGAAGATGCAAATTGGTTTAGGTGTTAACCAAAATTAATTTACTAAAGACTTTGGCCAACTCAATCTCAAGAAGATGCAAATTGGTTTAGGTGTTAACCAAAATTAATTTACTAAAGACTTTGGCCAACTATCACGCACATTGGAAGTTTTCTACTTTTATACACATTTTCTTATGCTCTTATCTTTTGGGAATATTAACTTCTCTGGAAATGTCAGTCCAGTAACTGCTTCCATCCCTTCCATGTAGGAGACTAGCACACCACAAACCTGACCAAATCAAATGCATTAGCTGCTTGCTTCCATCCCTTCCATGTAGGAGACTAGCACACCACAAACCTGACCAAATCAAATGCATTAGCTGCTATTTCCCTGCTCCTACATTACTAGTATTTTGCGAACGTCTACTGACATTTGTGCTAACACACAAGCAACAAAACTAACCAGAAAGCTAAAACTAATCACATGCTGACAATGCTAGAATTAGACTTTTATCTTAGTGGCTGAAGTGTCGAAAAACTTTTGCGAGACGATACAAATTTAAGAGAGATAATTTTTGACTGCTTATTATTCAGAAACCAGCAAACTTAAATAATTAAAACCAATAAGAAAGGTGAGGTCCTGATGCCCCTGCATCACTAAAATATTGTCCAGTGAGCTTAACAAATTCAGAGTTCACTTTTACACAGACAAACATAGAGTGGATATTGTACTTACAGCAAGCATACAAACACTTGAAAATTGAATATAGTAAAGCATATTATCCAGCATCCACATAGACAAAAGAAACAAAGCAGAAGTTCTGGAAAGGTAACCACTGTTCAAACTTCAAAAAAATGTATGCGTCAAGTTCTACTTAAACAAGACAAAAGAAATCATTATGCATTTCTCCAATAAAAAAAGAAAAATCCGAAATACTTGCTCTCAGAAACCAGCAAACCAAAGACATATTTCTTAGATAGAAAGCAGAAAGATACACGGCTTCGTTTCAGGCAAAGATACAGCAGAAACAAGAGAGGACACTTATAGTTCACTAGGTTGTACATATCAACAATTTCCAAACAACTGCAGGCATCCACCACTCGAGAGAAAAGAACATATATAAAACAAATGATGTACCCACAAATGCACCTCAGGAATGGCTAGTTGTGCTTGGCAATCCTGTCAATATGGATCTGGGGTTTGTCCTAGAGACCAACGCATCTGCAATCAGACCCAAACATTATCAAACTCTAAGCATTTCAAATCTTAGCCTCAAACAACAAATCAGACATACAGTAAGGGTATTAAACATATACATGAGAAATTAAAAAAAATTCAAATAGAATATCCAGCCAGTCACAGGTAATTTAATTCCAAGTAATATCTTCACAAACATTCAATCAAAGATTACTATGCAAGAAAAACCCAATCATAAAGCACATAAACGTGTCAATTATGTGTTGAGAATCCGTCCTCATATTAAATACAACATCTAACATCCTACACACTCAAAACATGTTTTTACCCAGGGAAAAAAAAAGAAAGCATACCTTCTGAAAACAAATTTAATCATCCTGTTAAAAATGCATAGTAAATCCACATAACAAAAGCTAAAACCAGTCATCAATCAAATATCCAAATGCTAGCAAACTTGATATACATGTAAAAACTGGACAAATTTTCAAAACCAACCTATTTGGACTTTTATTCCCCAAAAACGACCCCATTCAAAAATAATTACAAAAACCGACCTGGTTTCCGCCTCAGCGCTGAAACCAGGTCGGTTTTTGAAAAAAACTCTCCGAAACTTCACGGGAGTTGAACTCCCGTGAAGTTTCATAGTTCAAAAAACTTCACGGGAGTTCAACTCCCGTGAAGTTTCGGAGAGTTTTTTTCAAAAACCGACCTGGTTTCAGCGCTGAGGCTGAAACCAGGTCGGTTTTTGCAAATAAAAGTGAATGGGGTCGTTTTTGGGTAATAAAAATCCAAATAGGTTGGTTTTGAAAATTTGTCCTGTAAAAACTTGCAATTGAAAGTAACAACTGTTCACATTTTAAGTATCTAACTAGTATTAGCGTGCATACAAACTTTAAAATTGAGCATTCAAAGCCATAAAAGTTGAATATTAACCAAACACACATGCAAACATGTAAAAACAAAATCTTAAAAGGATCATGATCAATTGAAAAATTCTCCATTGTAAACGATAATGTAAGAGGCAGGCAGTGTAAACATAACAGTACTCCAACAGCTCACAAATTTAAGTAGTATCCATAACGACCTAACATAAAAATATGACAACAATCTCTACATCAGAATATGCGATATTATCCAAACTGAAGAATTCATATACATGGGAAGCTAAAATTATCAAACATTTATAAACAAAGTGATAAAATTCTTCACCTTGAGTTGATTGAGGTAATCGGGGACCCTTATCTGTACTTCCCCCCAAACTTCTCTCCTCTTCCTTAACATCACCACCACTCTGAGGACTCACAAGGCTCCCTTTTTTATCCTTCTCACCCTGCCCCAAACTATTGGGAACTCTACTCTTAGCTTCAGCCTTCATTCTATCTTTATCCCCCTTCACTTGGCTCACAGGCATCGTAACCGGCTCATGGAACCTCATCCATTTCTCAATCTCCCTATTCTGTGCCCTCTTCTGCTCGGCACCACCCGCTCCCAACTTCCCATGCTTCCTCTTTGGCTCCTCCATGACCATCGA